ATTTTCTGTCCTGGATGCTGCTTCTAAGGAAGGACAAGGCTCATGACGTTAAGTTTAAGGGGAAGCAAACAGTACTCACGTCTGCATCATCCAGGGCCATGTTCCTGACCTTGTTTGCAGCAGAAAATCCCATCTGGAACTGCAAAGGTCCCACCCTGACCCTGTCCAAAGTCTTCCAGCGGGGAGGTCTGGAGTTCAAGCGTGATTTCATCGCCAAAAACGACTCCCAGAAAAACACCCAGCAGTTCCCGGAGGGAACCGTCTCTGCAGGCGCAGGGAGACGAGACTTCCGGCTGTGCTTCAGCACCCTGACTTCACTCCACATATTTCACAGCTGGCTTCCCCCTGTGCTGGCTGTGAAGGCCAAACTGCAAAATGGGCCAGAGGTGTGCGTGACCCTGCTTTTGCTTCTGAAATTCCTGGGGCTTCAACTTAATTTCAGTCAGGATAGTTAACATTTAACTAACACTAAATTTTTAAATAACCACTTCCGGCCACTTCATCCAGAGGGTTTTTTGTTTCTGTTTTTGTTTTTTTGTTTTTGATTTTTTTTTTAAACGGAGTCTCGCTCTGTCGCCCAGGCTAGATTAGAGTGCAGTGGCGTGATCTCGGCTCACTGCAACCTCCACCTCCCGGGTTTAAGCGATTCTCCTGCCTCAGCCTCCTGAGTAGCTGGGATTACAGGCGCCCACCACCACACCCCGCTAATTTTTGTACTTTTTTAGTAGAGACAAGGTTTTGCCATGTTGGCCAGGCTGGTCTTGAACTCCTGACCTCTGGTGATACACTGCCTCAGCCTCCCAAAGTGCTGGGATTACAGGCGTGAGCCAGGCACTGCACCCAGCCAGAGCACTTTTGAAAGTATTTTCTGAGGCTGTTTGGGATAGGATGAAGGCTTGGTAATCAGCCTCCTGGGTACAAATTCCAGTTCTGACCTCAGTTTTTTCATCAGTAAAATGGGTGTCTGCAGACCTGCCAAGTGTCTGGCATGTAGGAGGTATGTGGTAACAGGATGGCACTTTGTGATGGATTCAGCTGTTGGAGGAAGAAACAGGCCCACAGGCGCAGATGCTCACAGCTATAATCCCAGTACTTTGAAAAGGTGAAGTAGGAGGATCACTTGAGCCCAGGAGTTCAAGACCAGCCTGAGCAACACAGGGAGACCCTCCCGCTTTCTACAAAAAAATTTTAAAAAATAACCAAGCATGGTGGTGCACGCCTGTAGTTCCAGTTCCTCCAGAGGCTGAGGCAGGAGGATCACTTGAGTCCAGGAGGTCAAAGCTGTAGTGAGCCGTGATTACACCACCACATTTCAGCCTGTGTGACAGAGCAAGACCTTGTCTGGAAACAAACAAAAAGAAACAGACCCAGAGAAGGCTGACCACTTTTCCAAGGTCACACAGCTGGCTAAAGGCAGCCATGAGCCCCAATATCTAGCTGCAGGTCCCCAAGCAGGGCTAGGAAGGGTTCTCAGGCCACTTATGAGGGTGGAGAGAAATGGAGCCCGAGTCTGAGCCACAGCCAACTGGGACCTTGGCCAAGCAGGGAACAAGCAGGGGAGGCAGGGGGAGGGACAGAGAGGGATGGAGCCAAATTCCTGCAGCTGCCCTGCCCGGATGGTGCAACTGGGGACCAGACCTGTGGGCTGAGACCTGATGCCAAGGCCTGCAAGCATCCTCACGTTTTGCCCCTGAGGTCTGGGGTCACTCTCTACACCCCTTAGCCCTCCCTCCCCATGCTGGTACCCCAGACCTCTCAGTCCCAGGGCTACTACCAAAGGGCAAACCCCTGGGTGAACGGATGCCAGCCCCCTGGATCTGCCCCTTCTGCCTGCTCCTGAACAGCAGCTGGCTAGGGCCAGAGGCTCTAGCTGAGAACAGCAGCTTTTTATCTGTAACCTGCATGTTCCTCCTCCCCAGCCAGGGAGCAAATCCAGCCACTAGTTCCAAATGTTCCAACCTTCAAACCAAATCTGGTACCCCTCCCACCCCCATCCTGATTGGCTGAAGCCGAGCTTTTCTCTTGGGCTTCCTGTCCTCCATATAAGGAGGGGGAGTAAACAGAGTTACCGGCCTCCTGCAGTCACTCTGTGCCAGAATTTAAGAATAAAACAAAAAACAACAACAACCACCAAAAAAACCAGCAGCTTCAGCCCCCACCTGTGGCAGAGGTGATTCAAGCACAGGTGTGGAGCCAGAAAACCTTAGCTCAAATCCTGGGTCGGCCTCTGACCAGCTATGTGAACTTGGGCAGTTACTTTACCTCTCTGTGTCTCTGTTTCCTCATCTCTAAAATGGAGATAATAGGTTGGGCGCGGTGGCTCACCCCTGTAATCCCAGCACTTTGGGAGGCCGAAGCAGGCAGATCACTTGAGGTCATGAGCTGGAGACCACCCTGGCCAAAATAGTGAAACCCCATCTCTACTAAAAATACAAACTTCAGCTGGGTGTGGTGGCAGGCCCCTGTAATTCCAGCTACTCTGGAGGCCTAGGCAGGAGAATCTCTTGAATTCAGGAGGGGGAGGTTGCGGTGAGCCAAGATTGCGCCACTTCACCCCAGCCTGGGTGACAGAGCAAGACTCTGTCTCAAAAAAAACAAAATTAAAAAAATAAAATGGAGATAATAATAGCATCCACCAAGTGGATTTTTTCTGCTGATTAAATGAGTTAATATATGTCAAGTGCTTGGGACATTGCCTGGAGGAAACTTACCCTCCTCCCTCCCATATGCTGCTAGGGAGTCCCAACCACATGTCCTGGGTGTCACCTGTCAACTTTCCAGCTAGAGAGGCTCCCAGCCTCTCACCAACGACCATCTGGTCACTTCCACACCTTGCAGCACTAGCTCTCACATGTGGCCTCATGCCAGTCCTGAGGCACCCAGACACAGGCCCAGTCGTTTTTCCTGGCCACAGGGAGCCTTTCCTTCCAACTTCTTGCAGTCTCAGAGCTACACAGTCAAAATGCCCAGCGCAGTCACCCTGAAGAGCGAGAGTGATTGTCTGCAGGAAGCTTTCTTTTAAACATATTTTTAGCCAGGCACAGTGGCTCACGCCTGTAATCCCAGCACTTTGGGAGACCAAGGCGGGTGGATCACTTGAGGTCAGGAGTTCGAGGTCAGCCTGGCCACCATGGCCAAACCCCATCTCTCCTAAAAATACAAAACTTAGCCAGGTGTGGTGGCATGCACCTGTAATCCCAGCTACTTGGCAGGCTGAGGCATGAGGATCACTTGAACCCGGGGGGCGGAGGTTGCAGTGAGCCGAGATCACACCACTGCACTCCAGCCTGGGTGATAGAGCGAGACTGTCTCAAAAAATAAAATAAAAAATACTTTTAGAGATGGGCTCTCGCTCTTTTGCCCAGGCTGGAGTTCAGGGGCGCAATCATAGCTCACTGCAGCCTTTACCTCCTGGACTCAAGCAATCCTCCCACCTCAGCCTCTGAGTAGCTGGAACTGCAAGTGGGAGCCACTGCATCCAGCTCCTGTGGGAAGTTTTGAAAAGAGCAACTTCTGTCCTCCTGCTGTTCTGGAACCTGCAGGATGCTCAAGTGTCCCCCAGGTCTGCTCTGTGGCACAGTGAACCACTGTGGTCCAAGGAGTCCAGCCCTCCCCATGCCAAGCCACTGGTAGGGCTGTCTGCCCTCAGGCACCAGGGCATCCCAAGCATACTCCAAGCTCTGGCCCAGGCGAGGCTGGAAGCTGAACACGCCCTCCTGAATGCTCAGGGGACTGAGGAGGCTCACAGGCCACAGGCTGCAGGCCCTGGGCCCTTCCTGGCAGGCTCCTTGGGGCAGGGTTACAACACCCACCAGAACAGCGCCCCCCTCAGGCAGCAGTCTGTCTTCCGGGCCGCGGAAGCCTCAGGATTTCACTGAGATGACGGGTCTGCAGCACTTTCTTCTTGGGGACTGGGAGGGGATTCTTCCTGGAGCATGCCTCCCAAAAGGGGTTAGCTCTCCTTCACCAGAGACAGAACTACCAGTCAGCCTCTCAAATCCAAGGTGCGTAAGACCCCTCCCCATGGAGCCTCTGCTAAGCATCTCAGTCAGGCAGAGGCTCCTTTGAGGGGCAGCCAGGCCTCCAGCCTGGGAGCTTAGGACCCAGGACACCAACTCGGCCCATCTACCCACTTGCTTAGTGAACCTAGGCGGTCCAATCCCCTCTCTAGGTCTCAGTTTCCCTATCTATTAGGTGTTGAGTTAGGTAGTGCCCAAGGCCTCCTGAGCTGTCACAGGCTCTGATTCCTAAAAGTCACCATCTCTGCTCCAAAGCCTGCAGTGGCTCCCTAGTGCCCTGAGAGTCGCCAGGGCCCCTGTCCACTCAACCCCTGGGAGGGTCATCTGTAACCTCCGGTCTTGCCTATGCCTGAGTCATTCCCAGGCAGCCTGGGATGGAGTAAGGGTCCTTTGTCCACCCAGCCCCTCAGTGACCTCAGCACAGCTTTCCTCTCATTGCTTTTATTGATTCCCAAGGGCAAGCCTGCTCCCATGGGGAGGCTAAGTGGGTTCACATCTTGTAGCCTCCAAAGATGGGGCAGTTCCCATACTCAGGGGAGGCCAAGGAGGCCTTGAGTTTAGGCCAGGCGCTGAGGCGTGCCACATAGGCTGAGAGCAGGGGGAGCGTACCCAGATGGCCAGGCACCAGTGTCACTGGTAAAGGGTTGTGACTGCAAGTTGTCCAGGTTCATGGTGTTTTGAACCAAGAATTGGACAAAATGCCCAGCAAAGCAAAGAAAGAATGAAGCAACAAAAGAACGAAAGCAGGGAATTTTTTTTTTTTTTTTTTTTTTTTTTGAGATAGTGTCTTGCTCTGTCACCCAGGCTGGAGTGCAGTGGTGTGATCTCTGCTTAACGCAATCTCTGCCTCCCACGTTCAAGTGATTCCTGTGCTTCAGCCTCCCGAGTAGCTGGGATCACCGCCGTGTGCCACCACACTCAGCTTTGTGTGTGTGTGTGTGTTTAGTAGAGGCGGGGTTTCTCCATGTTGGCCAGCTGGTCTCAAACTCCTGACCTCAGGTGATCCACCCGCTTTGGCCTCTCAGAGTGCTGGGATTACAGGAGTGAGCCACCACGCCTGACCTAAAAGCAGAGATTTACTGAAAACAAAAGTACACTCCACAGCGTGATAGTGGGCCCAGCAGCAGCTCAAGGGCCCGGATACAGAATCTTCTTGGGTCCAAATACCCCCTAGAAGTTTCCCATTGGTCACTTCATGCTCACCTCATGTAAACGAAGTGGTAGCCCACAATCTGATTGGTTGCAGAAAGCAGCCAATCAGAGGACGTGAAGTTACAAAGGTCACATTCCTGTGCCAACATCTGATTGGATGAAACCTTTGCTAGGGTTATGTTACAAAGTTATATGAAAACGAAGATTTCACCCGCAATCAGTCTGGTTGTGGACAGCAACCATTCATAGGCTGGAGTGAAGTTACAAAGTTGCAAACGAAGACCCCACTCACAACCAGTCTGATTTGTTGGGGACAGCCAATTTCCCATCTGCTGTGCAGAAAACGTCAAATGGAGCAGCATCTGGTCCTTTTGTTACTTAGGCTGGAAAGTTTTCCTTTCAATTTAGTTCTAGGAAGTTGGCGTGAAACAGCCTTAGGTTCCCTGCCTCCAGACGCTATTCTCCTGCCTCACCAGGACCTGGTGGGCCAGCAGCAAGTCCAGCAGGTTGTGGTCGGTGAAGGAAACCTGCAGGGCAGGGGGTATGAGGGAGCTTGAGCCGCGTCAGGAGAGAGCAGCTTCAGGAGCCAGAACCCTGGCTGCTTCTGCTGCAGTGAACTGGCCCACTCTGGGCCTCAGTTTGCCCTTCTAAGAAATGGACCTACAATGATCTGGGAGGGGCTGGAGCCAGCGCTCACCTGGTCGCCCATGATGAATGCCTGTCATCCCTGGTTCTGGGCCAGAGGGTCTCAAAAGGCTTCAGGTGCCTTGCAGCTCCCAAACACCCTGAGTTTGCGCTCCTCCTGTGAACAGGAGTGACTCCCGTTGGAGGTGTGCGGTGAGACTGACCAGGGTGACCTCCTGCCCCTGACCACACTGTCCCAGAGCACCAGCCCGCACCCCGGCTCACTCAGAACCCTGGTGGATAAGGCAGCTGCAGTGCCCGCCCACGACGGTCCTCCACCCTGTCATTCACTGTGTCCACCAGTGCCTCCTCCCACTGGTCTTTGTCGTAGAGCCCTAGTCAGCAGCCAGGCAGTGGGCTGAGATTCTGTCCTCTCTCCACAAAGCCCACAGGTGTCACACCTGGGCCTCCAAGACCTCTCTCTGACCCCGGCTTTGGAGGGCCTTCTCTCCCAGCCTCTGCTACTCCCACCTCCACAAGGTGAAAAGGCTGTAGGCCCACGCCTGTCTTTGGGGCCACACCCTGGCTCCCTGGCACTCAGGAATTCCCTGCCCTAAACATGCCAAGCCTCCCTACCCCCCAGATCTGTCTCCCCAAAGAGAGGACCAAGCCTCTGCTCTGTGTCTTCCTAGGCCCGAGTCTGACTTTTTGTGGGGACCAGAAGAGAACTTGGACATGAGGGCATAAAGAGGTGGCAGACCCCAACGGGGGTGTTCTCCTCTGTTCTCTCTCCTGGGTCCTGCAGAAGTTGGGATGGGCCTGTACCTTGGCTGCTCCCCCTGTTCCGCTGCACCCCCATTCCTGGTTGCTATGCCCTCCTGGGACCCCAGACTTTCCTGGACCCTCAACCTGGCCGAAGGGGAGACAGCATCTTCCTGAGCCAGGCTCCTGCCACCCTTGTGTGGGGGCTTTCTAGATTTAGGTACGACCAGAGTGGGAAGAAATGGACAGGAAGGTCTTTTTGGAAGCCCCTGGCCCCAACCAAAGTGGCCTCTGGCCTGCACCCAAACTCCTGTAAGCTGTTGTCTAGGAGATGGCCGCAGCGACTCCACCTGGTGCTGCCTGGTTGGGGGCTAGCCCAGCCGCACAGCCCCTGCTGTGCTCATGTGCACCCACAGCCCAAGCCACACAGCCCAGAGTCCTTCTGGAATGCAGGCCCTGCACCTTCCTGCCTCTCAGCTGGGCAGGACTTTGGTGGCTGCAGGTGCAGCAGCTCAGGCCCCAGGCAACTATCAGGTACCTTTCTGAACTGGGCCACCCCAGGCCTCAGGACTCACCAAAGGTGCAGCCAAGGTGATGCAGGATAACACTGGACTGGTACAGAGTGAGGTATCCTTCCTGGTACTTGGGGAGGTGCACAGCTCACTGCACACCCTCAACTGGGACCACTCCTGTTCACAGGAGGAGGGCAAAGCCCAGCTGGGGGTGGCACGGCTCCATGAGGGGCATTGAGTTCAGTTGCCCTCCACTCTAGTCCTGACCAAGGCCCAGTCCCTTCTTGGTAGGGTCACTCACACAGGAGGCCTCGAGTGGGACCTGCAGCCTCATCTCTTTGGTCACCACCTCCTTCCAACTCTGGCCCTGACCTGCCAGCAGCAGGCCATGGCCTCGGGGCGCCCTGGCGCAGGGGGAGTGGACAGGACGGGAATGTGGGGACATGGAGAGACCCATCCTCACAGCGACCTGGGACGGGGCGAGAAGGGTGGGAGACAGGACACGGAGACAGGACAGAAACCCTAGCTTGGGTGCCTCTTAGAGAGGGGACCATGGCCCCAACAGTGCCTTGGAGAGAGGAGTGGACAACTCAGCCCCACGGAGGGACAGAATGCAGCTGCCTCCGGAAGTTGGGGTGGGCTGCGCCTTGGCAGCACCCAGGGTTTCTTTACACTCTTCCCTGGTTGCCACACCCTCCTGGGACCCTGGGCTTTCCTAGAACCCCCAAGTTCGCTAAAGAGGGGGTAGAATTTCCCTGGGCCAGATTCCTGCCACCTTCAAAACATGACTCCGTGGGGCTGAAGACACAGGAAAGGCAGGTCCAGGCCCCACCCCCACAATCCCCGCCCCTCCGGCCCTGGCCCCGTCCCCTCTCCTCCGGCCCCAGCACTGGCGCAGGGAGGGGGCTCAGCGGCCCGGCGGCGGCGTGTGCCCTTTGTCCTCCTGAAGGAGCTGGGGCTGTACCTCGGGTCGGGAAGTGGACGATGGTGTAGGGCGGCGCTAGGAGAGACAGACAAGAGGATGAAGACTGTGAAAGAGCTTCGCCCATCGCTGGAGCTAAGGAGCCCAGGGGCAGGCAGCCCAGGGGGTCAGACCCCAGAGACTGGGTTAGACTGATGACTCAGCCTGGGCCCCGCCTCCTACCCGGTCCAGACCCTACTGACTCGCAGGCAGTGAAGTGGAAGCGCAGCAGGAAGTGGGGAGGCGCCCAGAGGCCTCCTACTCACTGTTCTGCCCCGCCCCCACAGCCCTCCCGGCCCCACCCCAGGAATGTGCCAAGTCAGGGAGCAGGTCAGGGCAAGGAGACGTCGGGCGTGATGAGGACCGGGCCGGGAAAGGGCCACCTGCCCATCTGCGTGGATGTACCCTGCCTGCAGGGCAGCAGCTTTGCAAGAGGCACCCACACCTAACATCACACATTGACGCACTCCCATGCGCACCCCCAAACCACACAGAGGGCCAGGACTGAGGACTTCGCGCATTCCTGGGTCCGCAGCACCAGTGCACCGTAGGTGCTCAAAAATGCTTATTGCATGGATGAATACAGTTCTAATAAATAGACATACCCATTTACACATCCTCTCTCTGTGTTGATAATAACAAAAAACTCTTAAGGCCTGAATAATAGGTTGAGGGCTTTACATGTATAACAACCCTAAGGCTCATTTTTATTTTTTATTTATTTATTTATTTATTTTTTGAGACGGAGTTTCGCTCTTGTTGCCCAGGCTGGAGTGCAATGGCGCAATCTCGGCTCACCGCAACCTCCGCCTCCCATGTTCAAGCGATTCTCCTGCCTCAGCCTCCTGAGCAGCTGGGATTACAGGCATGCGCCGCCATGTCTGGCTAATTTTTTGTATTTTTAGTAGAGACGGAGTTTCTCCATGTTGGTCAGGCTGTTCTCAAACTCCCGACCTCAGGTGATCTGCCTGCCTCGACCTCCCAAAGTGGTGGGATTACAGGTGTGAACCACTGCGCCCCGCCTTTATTTATTTTTTGAGACAGTCTTGCTCTGTTGTCCAGACTGGAGTGCAGTGGTGTGATCTCTGCTCACTGCAACTTCTGCCTCCTGGGTTCAAGCGATTCTGCTGCCTCAGACTCCCGAGTCGCTGGAATTACAGGTAACAGCTAATTTTCATATTTTTAGTAGAGACAGGGTTTTGCTGTGTTGGCCAGGCTGGTCTCAAACCCCTGACCTCAGGTGATCCACCTGCCTGGGTCTCCCAAAGTGCTGGGATTACAGGCGTGAGCCACCGTGCCCAGCTCATCTTCATTTTGTAGAAGAGGAGATTGAGGCACAGAGAGGTTAAATGACATGCCCAAGGTCACACAGCTAGTGAACAGGATTTGAACCCAGGTCTGGCTCCAGGAGCCTGTGCTGCTCCACTCTTGTTCTTTCCTCCTTGAGGACTTGTAGTTGAAGAAAACCAGAATTTGTCACCCCCAAATATGCCTCTTTGACATAAAATTATTGAGCTGAAGGCAATTAAGAAGGAGCCAACAGGCCAGGCACCGTGGCTCACGCCTGTAATCCCAGCACTTTGGGAGGCCGAGGTGGGCAGATCACCTGAGATCAGGAGTTCGAGACCAGCCTGGCCAACATGGTGAAACCCATCTCTAATAAAAATACAAAAATTGACTGGGCGCGGTGGCTCACGCCTGTAATCCCAGCACTTTGGGAGGCCCAGACGGGTGGATCATCTGAGGTCAGGAGTTCAAGACCAACCTGGCCAACATGGCAAAACCCCATCTCTACTAAAAATATGAAAATTAGCCAGGCGTGGTGGCAGGTGCCACCAGCTGCTCGGGAGGCTACTTGGGAGGCTGAGGCAGGAGAATCACTTGAACTCGGGAGGTAATGTTGTAGTGAGCCGAGATTGCACCATTACACTCCAGCCTGGGCAATAAGAGTGAAACTCCATCTCAAATAAATAAATAAATAAATAAATAAATAAATAAATAAAATACAAAAATTAGCTGGGTGTGGTGGCTCATGCCTGTAATCCCAGCTACTTGGGAGGCTGAGGCAGAGAGTCACCTGAACCTGGGAGGCAGAGGTTGCAGTAAGCTGAGATCGGGCCACTGGACTCCAGAGTGAGACTCCGTCTCAAAAAGGAAAAATAAAAATAAAAAGAAGCAATGAACGGAGAAAGAGCGCTACCTATCCTTCTCCTCTCCTGCCTAAAGGCAGGATGTAAATTCTCCTTAATTAAAGACAACTCTAGATTCTCAGCTCCAAGGATGTGTTACCAGAGAAAAACTGCAGTTCTTTCACCTGGCGAGTAACAAACGACTTCAAGAACGCAGGTTTAGATGAACAGGGGTTTTATTACTCGGTATAAGTAAGGAGAACACAGAGAGGATTCTCCAAAGCAGCATCTCCCCACAGGAAAGTGACAGGAGGGTTTTATGGGGTGATGGAGAGGGGAGAGGGGTCACGATGACATGCAGAGGAGAGGTCCCAGCTGCGCAGACGCAGTGAGTCATTATGCCTATGTTCCCAGAAAAAGCGGTCCAGATTCAGATCCCAAGAGAGGGTTCTTGGACCTCGCGCAGGGAGGAATTCAAGGCGACTCACAGGGTGCAGTGAGAAAAGACAGCCTATTGAAAGCCACTCCATTACAGAGTAAGGCGTCCTCAGAAAGCAAAAGGAAGGATGCACCATATTTGTTTTAAGTTCTTCTTATATAGGATTCTTATCTATGCAAAGACTAAACTAAGTTGTGCCTAAGTGTGAGTGGGCTGACAGCACGACAAAATGTATCATTTTATTGATTTAAAGAAAACTATCCTTGACATTTTAGTGTGTGAGTGCATCAAAGCATAACTAATTATCTTGAAAGCATATGTTGTTACAGGTATTGGGACATCTGGACTTTTTGTGGCTGCAGGAATGTGTTCTTGCAGACAGTACCAAGCCAATTCTTTAGCTGTAAGCATCTTAGAACCATGGGTCATGACTAGTGTGGAAAGTGCCTTGCTAGTAATTTATTTTTATTTTTTATTTTTTTTTTGAGATGGAGTCCTGCTCTGTCACCCAGGCTGGAGTGCAGTGGCAGAATCCCGGCTTACTGCAAGCTCCACCTCTTGGGTTCACACCATTCTCCTGCCTCAGTCTCCCAAGTAAGTGAGACTACAGGCACCTGCCACCATGCCCAGCTAATTTTTTGTATTTTTAGTAGAGACGGGGTTTCACCGTGTTAGCCAGGATGGTCTCGATCTCCTCAGCTTGTGATCCAACCACCTTGGCCTCCCAAAGTGCTGGGATTACAGGTGTGAGCCACCACGCCTGGCCGTGCCTTGCTAGTTTTAAGATGGATTTAATTTTAAAATGGTGTCACTCGGGCTCTCCCAGGCTCCTGCTTCCCTAGCATTCCCCCTACCTACTTATGAGAGAACCCTGAATCTAAAGGAGAGAAGAGTGAAGATGGTTCTCTGAAACTTCTTCATGCTGATGGGGGGTTTTGATCTTTGCAACAGGATTCTCTCATAAGGGTTTGCAGTTGGAGCCAGGGGAGGTCCTCATTCACGTGGACCTCCTAGTACTGGAGGAGGAAAAGTCTCTGGATGCCTGATTTACGGGGCCTAAAGGCAGGATGTGTTTATTTCCTGGCTCAAAGATGGAATGGGTCAGAAGCCTTGTGCCAGCATCATCTTTATGTGGAACTGTCGTAATCTATTAACAGAAGACATGGACTTTACCAAGGGGTTAAACAAGAAAGGGCCAAAGATGAGTAATAACAAGATAAGCTACCAAAGGCCCTAGGAAGGGCAAAAAGCGAGACTCCAGAGGGCGATTTTAATGATTGACCAGATAGCTGGAATGGTGCCTTTGTTATATTTATGCAACCAGGCAGCTTGTTCATATATATTCTGTATATCTTCTTCTATCTGACCTGAGGTGTTTACATAAGTGCAGGAGGTTTATTTATTTATTTATTTATTTATTTATTATTTGAGATGGAATTTCACTGTTGTTGTGCAAGCTGGAGTGCAATGGTGCGATCTTGGCTCACTGCAACCTCCACCTCCTGGGTTCAAGCAATTCTCCTGCCTCAGCCTTCTAAGTAGCTGAGATTACAGGCATGCGCCACCATGCCTGGCTAATTTTTTTGTATTTTTAGAAGAGACGAGGTTTCACCGTGTTAGCCAGGATGGTCTCGATCTCCTGACCTCATGATCCACCCACCTCAGCCTTCCAAAGTGCAGGGATTACAGGCGTGAGCCACCATGCCCAGTCATTTTTACATTTTTAAAGGTTTATTTTAGTTCCCTTTGACCAAGAGAGGGGTCTGTTCTGTTGAGGGTTTTAGGGTTTTATTTATTTCTTTAGTGTATATATCCCCTTTTTTGTCAAGGTATGCCAGAGGCAGCATCAATGGCCAAGCTTTTATTATTTCTTATTTATTTATTTTTGAGACAGAGTCTTGCTCTGTCACCAAGGCTGGAGTGCAATGGTGTGATCTTGGCTCCCTGCAACCTCTGCCTCCCGAATTCGAGCAATTATCCTGCCTCAGCCTCCCTAGTAACTGGGATTACAGGTGCACACCACCATGTCTGGCTAATTTTTGTATTTTTAGTACAGACTTGGTTTCACCACGTTGGCCAGGTTAGTCTCGAACTCCTGACCTCAGGTGATCTGCCTGCCTCAGCCTCCCAAAGTGCTGGGATTACAGGTGCAAGCTACCACACCCAGCCTGACCAAGCTTTTATTTTGTCCCGTATCGATGCCACGGTGGTGTGCTACCTGTCCTGGGTCCATTATGTCCCTTGGTGGGACTTCTATGGCCAAGAGACTTAGAGTCAAAAGATGTATAGTCAATTAAACATTCTAGGTCAGGTGGGAATGGAGGTAGGCAGGCATTCATCAACTTTAGGACCCCCTTTAAGCAATGTAAGAGCCTAAACTCAAAAGCCAAAATGCAAGGTTATAAAATTAACTTATCTATAAACTCCATGCATTGAGCCGTTGTAATCTTGGCTTGTAGCAATTAATTACACAAAACACAAGCATTTTGTTCAGCTGCTTAGGCATCTGTGTGCCCATCTTTGAAGGTGGTGCACACCTGTAATCCCAGCTACTCGGGAGGCTGAGGCAGGAGAATTGCTTGAATACAGGAGGCAGAGGTTGCAGTGAGCTGAGATTGTGCCATTGCACTCCAGCCTGGGCAACGAAAGCAAAA